CCTGCCACAATTAAAGGAATATTTTCCATTTGCCAGCTTTCATAACAATAGAATTACAATTTGTTTACTATTAACCTGCCACAATTAAAGGAATATTTTCCATTGCCAGCTTTCATAACAATATAATTATAATTTGTTTACTATTAACCTGCCACAATTAAAGGAATATTTTCCACTTGCCAGCTTTCATAACAATATAATTATAATTTGTTTACTATTAACCTGCCACAATTAAATGCATATTTTTCACTTGCCAGCTTTCATAACAATAGAATTATAATTTGTTTACTATTAACCTGCCACAATTAAATGCACATTTTTCACTTGCCAGTAAATTTTTACTTGAAGTAGTTCGTAACACAAGCACTTAATACTTATTTTCCATCGCCCACGAAAACATTTATCTAATCCATGATATAGAAAAACCTGAAGAGATGAACCATGAGATTATTGAAATTAATATCGAAATTTGAAGCTCCAAACGATCATACTTCCAATGCCAACACAACAGTTATTTTTAGTTGCTTTTTTCTCAGCCAACGTTACTGAATGAAAATCTCCGTTAGCAATGTCTTAAAACGATATTTTCGAACCTTTCTGGGTGGAATTTTAAAACGAGCCAACTAAGATTTCAATGTATAAAACATCGATACTGTAGTGTGATGATTCATCACATCCTGTGCGCGTAAGGATTACATGTTCTGCTTGCTGTTCATGGAATGAACAATCTATCTTGTCTTATCTTTGCCTTTCATGAAACGATACGCCTTTTCCACTATCTTTTGTTCTTCAAGCAAAATGGCACATCTTACTTACTCGTAATTGCCTGTGTAGATTACAGATATTCTCTGTGTCTTCCATGATATTTAAGTTGTATTATTGTGTGGTCCTTGCTTACTTTCAATCATTTTTGTAGATAGAACTATATCCTGTATTTCCCATGATATTTAAGTTGTATTATTGTGTGGTCCTTGCTTACTTTCAATCATCTATGTAGATAGAACTATATCCTGTATTTCCCATGATATTTAAGTTGTATTATTGTGTGGTCCTTGCTTACTTTCAGTCATCTGTGTAAAGAAAACTATACTAAGAATCTTCAGTGAAATTAAAGATGTATTCTTGTGTGGTCCTTACTTATTCTTAATCATTTGTGTAAATATAACTATATCCTGTATTTCCCATGATATTTAAGTTGTATTATTGTGTGGTCCTTGCTTGTTCCCACTCATCTGTGTAAATATAATTATAACCTGCACTTCCCATGAAATTAAAGATGTATTAATGTGTGGTCCTTGTCTACTTCCAATAGTTTGTGTAAATATAACTATATCCTGCACTTCCCATGAAATTAAAGATGTATTATTGTGTGGTCCTTGTCTACTTCCAATAGTTTGTGTAAATACAAATATACTATGTATCTTCCATGAAATAAAGATGTATGATTGTGTGGTCCTTTCTTATTGTCAATCATCTGTGTAAATATAATTGTATTCTGTATTTTCCATAAAATTAAAGACGTATTCTTCTGTGATTTTTTTCTCTCGTGCTTATAGTATGTGAAACAGACAAAATGTTTTTGATTGTATTCAGTTTGATTTGTTTCCTGTTTGTTCGAATATGTAAGATATATTAGAACAACTAATACGCTGTTCTTTCATGGATGATTTAGGCAGAGTCTTCAAGGTGGACAGACATGGGTGAAATGGGTAGCAACTGCCTAGTTCAGAGTGACACCCGTGAAGAAAATTTTGGAGGACTATTCTACAAAGGTAGCTCAGGTGGAAAAGACGACGTTTCGCTTGTCTTTCGAAATGTTATTTCAATAATGATAGTTTTAACCAAAGTACTACACATAAATGTAATCGCCACATGTACTTTCACACACACTTACACATATGCTGTCACCGTTCACGATGCCACAGTTTATACTTTCGCACACACTTACACATATGGTTCCATCGTTCACAATGCCACTGTTTATACTTTCACACACACTTACACATATGCTGCCACCGTTCACAATGCCACTGTTTATACTTTCACACACACTTACACATATGCTGTCACCGTTCACAATGCCACAGTTGATACTTTCACACACACTTACACATATGCTGCCACCGTTCACAATGCCACACTTTATATTTTCACACACACACTTACACATATGCTGTCACCGTTCACAATGCCACAGTTTATACTTTCGCATACACTTACACATATGGTTCCACCGTTTACATTGCCACAGTTTATACTTTCACACACACTTACACATATGCTGTCACCGTTCACAATGCCACTGTTTATACTTTCACACACACTTACACATATGGTTCCATCGTTCACAATGCCACAGTTGATACTTTCACACACACTTACACATATGCTGTCACCGTTCACAATGCCACAGTTGATACTTTCACACACACTTACACATATGCTGCCACCATTCACAATGCCACAGTTTATATCTTCTCACACACAATTACACATATGCTGCCACCATTCACAATGCCACAGTTTATACCTTCTCACACACAATTACACATATGCTGCCACCATTCACAATGCCACAGTTTATACTTTCACACACACTTACACATATGCTGTCACCGTTCACAATGCCACAGTTTATACTTTCACACACACTTACACATATGCTGCCACCGTTCACAATACCACAGTTTATACTTTCGCACACACACTTACACATATGCTGCCACCGTTCACAATGCCACAGTTTATACTTTCACACACACACTTACACATATGCTGTCACCGTTCACAATGCCACACTTTATACTTTCACACACACTTACACATATGCTGCCACCGTTCACAATGCCACAGTTTATATTTTACACACACTTACACATATGCTGTCACCGTTCACAATACCACAGTTTATACTTTCGCACACACACTTACACATATGCTGCCACCGTTCACAATGCCACAGTTTATACTTTCACACACACTTACACATATGCTGTCACCGTTCACAATGCCACACTTTATACTTTCACACACACTTACACATATGCTGCCACCGTTCACAATGCCACAGTTTATATTTTCACACACTTACACATATGCTGCCACCGTTCACAATGCCACACTTTATACTTACCCGTAATCCCGCTAATTCTGCAGCAGATGGACTCTCAACTCCAGTTACAAAAATCCCCAATCCGTCTTCTACTCCACCACGTATCAATAGCCCCAGAGGTAAGCCTTTTTCGACAGTTAACGTCACCTGCAGAAACGTTGCCAAAACGTAAGTCAAAGTCTTTGTTTACACACACACAAAACAAAACAGTCTGTGGGAGAAATCCAAGCCTGGAATATAATATCGCACTGAATAAACATATATAATATGATTCTACTTAGATCTTCGACAGAGTTCACCTTTTTGCAGAAGCGAAAGAAAAAAATTGTGGGAAACAACACAGGCGGGAAGTTATATTTTATTTCCAAATATTCGTTATGACGTTTATAATTTTAACATTTAATTCCTTAAATATATATATATATATATATATATATATATATATATATA